GTGTATATAAAAGTTGAATTTGTACATTTGGTGGTAAACTTTTTTTTTAATATACGTCGAATATGATTATGATAATTTTCATCAATAATTAATGTTGCATCAACAGATATATGATTTAATGTTATAGATGGACCATGATCAATAGAAAAGATTTGTTCTGTTTGTATTAATGAATCAAAACGTAACATATTATGAATAGAATTTTTTTTAAATTGTAAATTAGATTTTGTTGATGATATTGGTTTTCTTGTTTTTGTTACTTTAAAAATTATTTTTTGATTTATTTTTATAATAAGTTCATTAATATATTTTGTAAATGATAAAACTAAGAAAAAGAAAACATTAACAATTATCAATATTTTATCCAGCGTGGGGATTCTGCCAAAACAAAATCAGCATGGCAGTGATGTTCCTCTAAAAATTGAATTGACTCTCTCAAAGTTCATGATTATGAAACCTTGTACTATGTGTCTATACTCTCTAAAATGAAGTGTTTACCCTTCTCCGTAAAAAGAAAACCTAGATAAAATACTACCAATCATAAAATTTCTACCTTTAGTAAAATAAGCTTTAAGTTGTGCAAGATTAATTGTTGGAATAATTTCATTTGTTGTTGTTGTTGTTGTTATATTTTTCTTTTGTCGTTTTTTATTTGATGATTTAATATTAGGACTTTCATTAATATCTATTATTGAATCAAAATCAAGATTTGTTTCTGTATGTAAAATATATTTTGTACGCATTTTAAGAATAATTGATGTTAATTGTGATTGTTGTTCTAATGGTAATTCATGACGATAAGTTGTTAAAGAATTATCATCACGCCAAACAAATGCCATATATTGATTTCCTGATGTTATAATTGGTTCTTCAGAAAATGAAAAAACAGAAAAAAATCCAACACCAAATTGTCCAACTGATTCAACATTTATATTTCCTTCAGCTATAGATGCTACACGTTTCCAATCAATTTCATTAAAAATAAGACCATTATTTATTGCACGAATTTCTGTTATAGTTTTATTATGAAAATCTTTTTCTGATGATAATCTATTATTATTACAAGTTATTTCAAAATGAAATGATGTTGCTTTAGCATCATCAGAATTTTGAATTAATTCACGACAAACAACAAAATCCGATGAATAACGTGCAAGCATTTTATCAATTAACATTCGTTGATTAACTTCAACACGATTTTCAATACCAGATTGTAATGCTTTTAAACGAAGAGTATCCGATTGATCTAAGAGATTTTTCGACATTGTTGAATCTAGAAGAGAAGCAGCATATTTTTTCTTGTTCAAGTAAAAAAATAAAATGAAAGTAATTCAGTTTTGTAAGCTTCTTATATACTAGAGTTAGAATATAGCTTTATTCAACTCTGTTTATCATTTTAGCAAGTTGGAATTAGAGATATGTACGGTTACTCTAGCGTCGTATCTTGTAGAGTATGATAAAGGTAAGCAAATTTTTTTCTTTACTCCGAGAAAATGTGGACTGAAATTTTAAACATATTCAGTCAAAAAATACGAGGATATGAGTATATCTTCTCTTTATCGATACTCACATCCTTCTTCGAACAGCATCCGACTGTTAAAATATGTTCCCTAATTAATATTAAAAAACTCATCCTTATTTCCATTCTGACGTTTCGAAAATATTCTCAGTGTGTATATCAGAATACTACACCCAAAGAGAATTAAATGAAAAAAGAAATAACATCGATGAATATCTCCCGGTAAATAGACATAAAGTAACCTTGGTAGAATAAAGGTTCGACTCTTGAACATATGGGTTATTTACCGTTGTAAGCTAATACATTTGACACTGGGTGGTGATATTTTTCTAACATTAACATGAGGGGAAGTATGACGATACTAGAGATGTGCAGGGCACGGTAGGATAAGGTCTAGAAAATTTTTCTCAGCCTAGATACGAAGACGAGCAAAGGATGAGTGTAAAAAGGCTAGTCGTTTTTATAGTTGTGATAGCATGTCTTGTTAAGTTTTTTTCTTAAATAGTCCTCGTACATAACTTGTCTGGAATGATTCGTAGTTCACGGTTCACATCCTGACTGCTTAACCGGCGGCCGTGATTCTGCTTGATATGTGATGCTTGTCGAGTTCGGACTAGTCCACATAATAGAAATATAAGAAAGAACGTTAAATTCAATCACGCACCAATCGCTTAGCCAATTGAACTATACCGTCAAATGATCAAGTTTTATATGTCAATAAACATTCTAAGATGTTATTTAATATGACTATTTTAAAATTGTTTTTATTTTTCTAAAAAAATGTTTTTCATCGCTGATGCCTAGGAAAATTATTTTATATTAAATAAACATTAAAAATCAAAATAAATTCCTTTTTTTTCACATCACAATTACAGTTTATTTCAATTACCTAAATTAATATTTAAACTTAATTAACTCTAATTTACTTTAGAGTCTAATAAATTTCAAAGAACATTAATAGATAATTTTCGTTGAAAAATAACCATACTTCTTTGTATTTTCATGTAGATCTTTGAGCTTTAATATAATTTTGTATTTTTAGTATAAAAATGTACAAATCCTTATGTATCAGAGAGATTCTCGTTAAAACTTGTGATATGAAACAAATAAAATTACAAAGTACTATACCACGAATATGATGCTATATATAAAATAAGGATTCATTAAATATATTGACGACATTTCAGATTAATCAACTCGCTTTTCTTCTTCGATTACTTTCAACTACAGATTGAATGAACAGGCGCCGCTCTGCTATTTAGACTGTTTAAAATGGCATCTATCTGTCGTTATATCGTAATTTATCGTCATAAAGCACGTCAGATGTAGAATACTGTTGAATGAAATTCTGCTGACTAGTTTAGATGTAATGAACGAAAAACCGGACTAGATATGATGGACGTAAGTACCTTTTAGATTAGTCCAAATCTAGTTGAAGGACGTTGCTTGAAAAGACGACCAGTCCTGATAGATACGTAAGATGTTTTAGACTACACTTAACGTGTTGTATGGACATTTTAGACTAGTCTTGTTAGGGTATGGGTGTGGATGTTCAGAAAAAGACACCCACACAAAACCAATTCGACGGCCGTGTTAATGTATATGGGGATGGTTAGTTATTATAAGATGTAAGAAGACGACGATGAAAGAAAGAACAAGAAAAAACGAAAAAAACACATGTAGATGATTTTATGCACTATTGTTACTAGCTAGAGTTCGACAAAAAAGTTTTTGTCGAGACGTTGTTACTATGTTCTTAGTTGGACACTGACCAAATAGGATAGAAAGATAGAGCGAAAGACGCTCTATCTATTCGTAAAAAAAAGCCTCCATCACTACTTTTGGATAACCCTAAGTATATGTATGAGTATTGTATTGTTTAACATGCATAGAAAACAATAAAATAAAGGTTCATTAAAAAAAAATATTGATTTGAATAATTCTTATTAGGAGTAATATTTTCTTATAATCATCATCTAATCTTATTCATGAAATACCACGCTTCCAAGTTCGTACTATTTTCCGGTCAGAAACAACCTATTTCCGGTGGAAATTCACAGATTCGGACATCGGAATCATTGATCTGCATTACAGTTTTTCATTATCATTGGATTCAATATGTTTTTTTTTTACTAGTTTTAGACATTTTTTAAATACTTTTCTTTAATTATTTACTAAACTTATTTCATAGGTTCTAATATATAAAGCATGTCCCATAATAACTGAGGATAAATTGTCAATGATATTTTGCATACTTTTTCTTGATATAGAACACTGAAATATTTATCATATATACATATCTATCTGCCTCAAATCTTTAGCTAAAACTAGTATTGAAATTTTTGTGACATGGTTATTGGTTGACTAGTGATATTTATAAATATCTGATGGAAAGAAAATTTAGATTTATCATTTTCCTTTCGAAAATTTCTTCTATTCGTATACATTTTCTGTTATTGATTATAATAACATTAGTAAATTTAACATCCACGATCTGCTGATTCTACATGTTTATTAAATAATTGTACTACGAACTGTTCGAACAATACTTCATGTTGTTTTGAAACGATTTAAATTCAATATAAACTATATATGTAATAAAAATTTTTGTCTTCTTCATCAAAAAAAATGTCGTTGAGAATTCTTTCTCAGTTGTTATAGGACATCCTTTGTATATTGTGAAATGATATAATGTTTCAATGCTAGAAGCAACTTCTTTAGATAAAATACAATGCATACATTCAAAAAAAAAGAAAAAATAACAAATTCTTATTTTTCTTTTTCTTTTTTTTATTTCTTTAATTTCATAATGATACAGTATCAAGCGATAAGAGTAATTACTTTGATGGGGATGAATCATTGCTATATCACTGTAAAAGTAAAGAAAGAAAAAAACCAAAACAACTGTCTGTTGTTGAGTTTATTTCTATTCTATTCCTAAATCATCGTGCATAATGACGTAGTACATGACTTATTATTACGATGATAGGTATTTCTCCGTATGTGATACGGAGAAAAACAGTCCTATACGCATTTTGTTTTCTTCGTCTTTGATTGTAACATGTATATTTTAATCTACGAATTCGTCAATCTTTTACACAAGAAAAGAAATATTTTTTTTCTCTTATTATATTCAAAATTCGATAGTATTTTAAACACTACAGTTATTAATCGTGTATTTTCTTGTTTTAGATGAAAAATATATTATCTATTAAATTAGATATATTATTATTAATACTAGGCTTTCTTATTGTGTTAAGTACTTCGTTGGTACTCGGCCTTATTGGACAGTTCATCTATTGGCTTTTATACGATTCATTTGGTCGTTATGAAAAGCGAGCTAAACGAAAATTGAAATTGATAAATAATCAACAAGATAATGAATACTATGTTATTATAATTGGTACTGGTTTTTCTGGTCTTGGTATGGCTATTAAAATGAATGAACTTGGAATGGATAATTATATTTTAATTGAACGACATGAACATGTTGGTGGTACATGGTATGCAAATAAATATCCAGGTTGTGCATGTGATATTGCATCAAATCTTTATTCATTTTCATTTGAACCTAATCCAAAATGGTCA